AAGCTGATTTCATAAACTTAGAAACATTGGTGTTCAAATGCTAAAACTGAGTGTGCAGAATATGTGAGGCCTCTGGAGGTACAAAGATCAGAAAATTAATAGCAGCAGTAGCTGCTAACATGGAAAAAAAAGTCATGAGTGGAAAAACAGTAAACTGAAAATCCTTTATCCTCCTTTCCACTCCTCAGTTCTCAGAGTTTTGTCTGGCAAGAAAAGCAGGGAATCTGTCTGACTTTCAAATAATTACTGATGTATTACTCTGTTGGAGGCTAGTAGCAAAGAGCAGCTGTGCCCTGTAGACAGAGCCAATTTCTCCCTTTCCCATCCCCCATTTCTGACTGCCTTCCCTGGAGAAAGCAATCTCACTGTTAAATAAACCAGGGTTGGGTTGCAAGACAAACCAAGAGTTCACTGGGAAAATATTTACTCATGCGTAAAGAAGCCTTTTTTAAAAACTTTGCTGCTTAGGAAACGATGTGATTTCGTGGGTAATAAATAAAAACAGATTTGTTGCACTACAGTTGTAAAGCTGCCATCTTTTATGAGCCTGGGAAGAGTGACCTTTTTCATCATAAGTCTTTGTCAATTCTGCCTCTGTGCAACTCTGCTCTTCTCTTCATGTATGTGAATCATCTGGGCTGCACTCAGCTGAGAGGTCTAGTCCCTAAAAGATAAGGTAGTTAATTATAGTTCTTGTTTTTTGACAAACTACCTTTCTTTTTCCCACACTTTTTACAAATTTTAACTGAAAATTAACAATTCTTGAGTGGCAAAATACCAGTATTGTGGTTAAAAACAGTACTATAAGAAATCAATACCAAACCATTTCCATTTATATTGAGCCCGAACCACAGAAACAAGAAGGTTCTTCAATGTCCTCATGTTCAAATTGTGTCCTGACTGTAAAAAATAAAGGAAAAAAAAAAGTTAAAATTTAGGGTGAATATAAATTTCACTTGCTGATTGCTTGGATTCAGTAAGTAACTGCTATCTGGAAAACTGGATGGGTTAATTGTGTAATAATCTAGAAACCTTCACATGGGAAAGTATTTAATAAAAGTGAAAATGCCATTTCTACTTACAAAGAGAGGAAACAAAAATCCAGAGGAAGGTGAAGAGTGTGAAACATCTGTCTCTGAGCCTAGCAAGTGTTCTTGAAACCTGCATCCTATGCAGTGAGATCGGATGCTTGTATTTGAGGGATTTAGTTCTTACTTCTCAAAAAGATTGTGCTCCTCCCCAAACCATGATTTAACAAAGCAATTGTGGCACCACATCTTCATTGGGCATTGGTGCCTGGTGTTTCAGGAGAGGGATTGAAAAAAATCTAAACAGCCTGTGTTATCAGAAATGGTTTCTATTTCAGCTTGCATCATATGAAAGGAGCCATCTTGTGGTTGTCTCCTTTGCAAATAAAATGTTGCTGGAAATTGCCTTGAAAAGCTGAAGTGAAACATGTTTCTACACCTCTATGATGATTTTTCTTCTGTTGTTTAGAAATGTAACCTTCCAAATAGCATTTGGCTTTAGAAATGTTTTTACTCAGAGAATTTTTTCTATCAGGTCCCAGTTCTACCAAATCTTCCAAATTAAAATAGCACATCTGTCTGTTCATACAGGATTAAACTAGATGTGTTCAGTCTGATTTCACTCTAGTCAGTTCATCCCAGTAACTGCTAGTCCTCTGAGCTCTGTTCAGACAAACACAGTAATCTGCACTCTAAATTTTGCTTTAAACTAACAATCAACAGCATGTCCTCTGAAATACAACTCTTAGAGGAACTGTTTGTTATGCTAAGTGATCTATATCTGTATCTATATTTATATATATGTATGTATCTATATCTATCTATAGATACGTAATCTTCATTGAAATGCGCTCACTAGGAACTCTGGGCGTTCCAGGCACAAGGCATTCCTACCCTTTGCTCCTGGACTTTTAACTCGTCTTGAGGAGCCAACATTTAGATGACACAGCAGTCAGATTTCTTCACCTCTTTGCTGATACACAATAACACTTACCAGTTTTAGAGTTTGATAAATCCACAAAATCCTGAGTAGATAAACAAACTTATTTTATGTTGATTAGCTCACTGAGGCTTGTATCAATTTATTTAAATATATTTTAAAAAATTCCCACCAAATTACCTTAGTTAGACCATATAAACAGAAGCTTCAGCCATAATGTTTCATGTTCAATTTCCCTAATAACTTTGAGTAAAGTTATGTATGATTCAGCTTGGGTAGCCATCTGCCTACTGCAGTTTTTAGTAACTAAATGTAATATCCAGGCCAAGGATCACCATAACTTGCTGAAAATACAGAAAAATGTTACAGATTTTATTTCATTGCTTTTTGAAATTGATTGAGGGCAAAAATGCATGGAATCTGTATTTCTGGTGAATTTGTGCACACACACCAACTAACAGATAAGACTTACTTTAGAATGTGCCATTTGAGGTTTATTGTGTTGAAGAAAAGATTGTTCTAGGAAAATGCAAATCTGCAACTGGGATTTGAAATGAGACTAATATTTGTTCCTGCTGAACTGGAAGGTAGACTTTGAGATCTAGGAGAGACAGGATTAGTAATAGTTTTTACTACATCTGGATTGGAAAGGCATTGTAAAAATATATTTTGGGAAAGTATTTGAGACATTGGATTAGAATTAGACCTGATAAAATTTTCAATCAGGGAATACCGATTGCTTTTTTTACTGAAAATATGAATGGGCTCCTTCAGAATATGTTTTCTTTATTAAGTATAACATTTTTAAAATTAAAATCTGGTTTTAAAAACATAACTGAAATAGTTCAAAACTTCATACTAAAATTGAAATGTTTTTAAGCTGTTAAATGAGATGCTTAAATTTCTTTTCATTTTTAAAAATATCTTGCTGATATCTTTACTTTTCCTCCTCAGTTAAAAAGAAGACTTAAAAAAATTATATTTTCCTTGAGATGGAAAAATCGTTTTCAGTGTCATCCTAAATAAGATCAAACAGTCAAAAGACATCTCACTGTTTGAGAAAATTACTTAATGGAATGAAGCACCACAGTTGGAGAGAACATAAGTAGGGAAATGACAGATATGCCATGTAGAATTTGGACATAATCTATCAGTAAGATTGTGTTTGCTCTACTGTGAGCAACAATAATTTTCAGGAGAAATCATAGATCTTTACTTTCTGTTTTAATTACTGCTCTCTATCTTGCATCTAGTAAAGGAGATAGAATATCTGGAATGAAACATGTAGGACCTATTTCTTGGAAATAGGTTAAAAGCAAATGAGTTATAATATCTTCCCTCCAAAAATGTTGCTGGTATGACAGTGATGATTATTCTGAGTGCTGAAATAAGAGAAACAATATATATATGGGATTATTTTTCACACAAATAATCTACGGCTATAAGTCTTTCAATGTACAGGATTCTGGAAGGTAACACATTAGACTAACAATTTAAAATAATATTGGTTAACCTGCCTAATTTCTGTAGCTGTTAGGATGCAGAAAGTCTCCTTTCAAAAACTGAGTCTGTGCCTCACTAAAGACATCTACCAGTTACCTAGAACCACAGCTTGTTCTCTACATATTTGGGTGGCACTGGAAGCAAAAACTTATTTTTCCTATGTTTCCACAAAAACATGTATTTACTTTGGTGAAACTGAAACCACAGATTTATAGATCCAAGACAGATGCAGTTGTGGAACTTTTTTATGGAAAGGCATATAAAAATCCAGAAATTTGGCAATTGTAGCATATTCAGAGGAGAATAAACACACATTTTAAGAAATGTGGAATGTAAAAAAGTTAAAAGAGGATCAAACGCAAAAATGGACTGCTTGGAAGTGAGTAGCTTTGTAAAGTATTGCATTCCCTCCAAGTGCTAAACTCTATGAAAGCTGTTGATAAGAATCAGTATATATACTCGTTTAACAGAACTAAAGAGGATCAAATGCAAAAATGGACTGCTTGGAAGTGAGTAGCTTTGTAAAGTATTGCATTCCCTCCAAGTGCTAAACTCTATGAATACTGTTGAAAAGTATCAGCATATACTCATTTAACAGAACCGATGAGAGTTGATTAGAATTACCTGGATTCAGCTTCCGGAAGTTTCTTGTTGCTAAGTGAATTTAGTAGTCATAGATACGTTTCTTAGGTCAGCACTTCCATATTAATAAACAAGAAGTTGAGTAAGATTTTCCCTAGGAATAAATCACTGCCAACCACTGTTTATGGAAGCTTTTAGCAGACCAGCCTTAGAGTTACCTTTGTCCAGATTTTTTTTTTTGTTTCTGTTAACTAGGATTAGGCTGAGTTTGCAATCAGAAATTGTATTATTCAAAGCAGTAAGGAAAGCATTTTAAAACTGTTTTTGTGAAATAATTAAATGGCAGAATCTGGAAGAGAATGTTGTAATGCCACAATTTGGAAATTCATCCAAAAATGAAACTATTTGTCTCCCTGCTTCTCTTTGCACCTTGACATATTAAATAAATGCATCATTTACTTGATTGAAATCTTTTGCTTCAATAGTAAACTTCTGATTTGCTAAAAATAAAATATGTTTGACACAGAAAGACATTTCAAACATCTTTGGAGGAAAATGAGCTTTATCTGTGCTCTGAATGTTTACAGATATCATGTACATGGTACTGAATCTCCAGTGTGAGAGTCCAGTGGAAGTTAATCAGTGATATTTCCTGTGAATTCACCTTCAGATGAGTGCTGTCTCTTTTTGTCATTTACTTTGGTATTATATTATAACAATTGAATATTTGGTGCTTTTTATAAAACTTTAATATTGATAAATATACTGTGGTTAGATAAAAGGTAGGAGAATAGAGACAATGGTGAAGGTAATCTGGCTCCTAAGGAGTTACAGCTGTGCTAATTATCAAGAATGAAGAACAAGCCTGCCCTTAATAGGCCACAGCTGGATCCAATTAAGAGGGGTATTATAAAAGAGCAGGTTGGCTGGTGGAGAGGGGAGATGGAGTTTGTTGTCTGTACTGAAGAGAAGGAGTCAGTGGTGTGAGGAGCTGCGCCTGAGAAACCACTGAGAAGGTATGGGACCTTGGCAATAGGACAGCAGCAATATACTGTATTTTTACCATATCCAGTAGATGCTACACCTCATTTAAATCAGTTAAATGCTGCTAACACCCTATTGCACACCCTTGGTTGTTGCAGTCTTTCAGCAGTGACGTCTCTTCTGCAATATCTAAGTCCAGGTTCTGATCTGGTTGGAATCACACTAATTTGCACTGAACTCACCAAATTACAGAACAGCTTTGAACTGTTAGCTTTATGAATTGGATTGGTGATTTTACTGTATAAATCTGTGCTAGTGATAACTACTTGGCTGGACTGAAGAAATTATTATGGACCAAATGCAGCTGTAGCAAATGACTGCGAAGACCTTGCCTTATGTGCAGCTTCAGTATGTTTTCCTTGGTCTGCTGGGTGTATCAGAATACTTTCTGAAATAACACAGTCCTCAGCAGGAATTACTAAGAGTGAATGCTGGCCTGAAAGCAAAAGCTTTAGGCCGAGCAAACCAACATGGCAGCCTGGAAGCCTCTCCATGGAGTAATTTTTATTCTATCCAGATGCTGTCTAGCTGGGCATAGTGGCAACTTTCTTGTATCAAAATATCCTAACATGCAGATATTCTTTTTATTGACCAATCTTTCTGACACGTACAGACATTTCAGGGAGAAAAGATATATCTTGTTTAGTCATGGTGTTGCCATTCTGAAGATGTTTCTGAAATTAGACCTAGGAAGTTGTATGAAGCATCTTACAAGGAAGCTTAAACCACAGCCATTATTTATATCAACATAAAGTAGTGGTGTAACCCCAAAGGAATGGCAATGTGTTATTTTAAGCAACCAGACAGGACATGAGAGGCTGTCTGATATCACACATTGGCATAAAAGTTGGTGCTGAAGATATTTAGCCATACCAGATTTTGACATGTTGGATAGTACCATGTCTAAAATGTGTTATCTTTTTTTGAAACACACATAATTTTCTCCCTGCTTGGGGAATAATTGTCTGCTAATTAAATTAATGGCCGAACTTGCAATCCACCTTGACTTTCAAGCATTTGAGAGTAATGGTGTAACCCCGAAGGAATGGCAATGTGTTATTTTAAGCAACCAGACAGGACATGAGAGGCTGTCTGATATCACACATTGGCATAAAAGTTGGTGCTGAAGATATTTAGCCATACCAGATTTTGACATGTTGGATAGTACCATGTCTAAAATGTGTTATCTTTTTTTGAAACACACATAATTTTCTCCCTGCTTGGGGAATAGTTGTCTGCTAATTAAATTAATGGCCAAACTTGCAATCCACCTTGACTTTCAAGCTGAGGAATATCAGCAGTTTGGATACCAGCCTGCATTATGGTAGAGTGGGTTTGGTTCATCCGCTACTTGAGGTTTCTTATGTTGTCCCAGACATACTGGTCCAGACCTACAAAGACTCTTTCTCACATTTGTAGCAGCTGAAACCCTCTTTAAGTAGCACTTACCTCCTTAAAACCTACAGTGAATCTGCACCTAGGTCCATATTCATTGCGAAAATAATCTGGGAGATCTGCTGGGAATTCCATTGTTCCACAAGGTTTGTGAGGTTTAGTATAATATATGTAAAGTCCTGAGCTACTACCAAGGACACAGAAACAGAAATACATAAACAAAAGCTTACAAGTTTCTATGATACATCACCCATGAAAACATATTTTATACTAAAACTGGAATATATTCATATCAAAAGGCATATAACCACTGGAATAAAAAACCAAACAAGCCAGACAAAACCCCAAAAGTACAAGCTATAAAACTTTTGAAAAATGCTTTGGTTTTTCTTCCTCAATGAAATTGTAGGAAAATAAAGCCCTGTGTGTGGATAAGAGCCATTTGGCTCAAATAACCCCAACATTTGGTGCTATAAGCAAATTCGTATTGAAATAATTCTAGGCTGTTGCGATACATAGTTATGCAGAACAATAGTTCTTTGCTTTCTGTATGTGTATCATTACATGATTTTTTTCCACACATTTCACACATTTATTAATGTATTTTCTTAGCTTAATGCAATGTATGGTTTGCATTCAAGTTACATAAATCATAACCTAAACAATTACTTGTTCACCTGTATGTCAGAATCAAGCAGGGGTACTTTTCACTATTAAAAATAGTGAAATTCTATTTTTCTGATTTTCTGATTTTTTTTTCAGTGTGTGAACTTGAGCTTGTGGATTCCTGCTCTCACACCAGGTGATATCTATTTTCCAAAGGACAAAGCACTGGTATGTTTTTGCCTCTTCCAAAAGTGTTTCTGCAGCCTTTAGAAGGGAGCAATGTAGGTGACTAATTACTAGCACTCACTTCACTACAGCCTAGGTTAAGGCCCATCAGTTTGAGAGGTACACACATCATGAGATATGTGATGTCCTTTGCCCCAGCATCACCCCTGGCTCACTGGGCCAAATTCAGCATACTGGACCCATACCCATTCTCAGGGGAAGGCAAGGAGCAAAGCTGCTGTTTTAAGGTGCTCATTCTGACATGGTTAGCCCTCCATTCAAAACTGCACTATACAGGACCCAAGGCACCTGTTTGGGTATGAAGACATCCAAGGTTAAATGTTGTAGTGCTCCATCTAAATCAGTTTGTAGAACAAGTGTATAAGGTTTTTGATGGTACTAGACTGAGGAATCAAGTTCACCCCTTGTAGAACAAGACATGGTAAGGGCAGCAGCAGGACCATAGTGATGAAAATCACTGCCCTGCCACTCTGTTTTAGCCTTGACCAAAGACCAAGACCTTTATGATTCATTGTCAATATCTGTTCTACCTTCAGTTTTGACTAAAAGAAGAAGAAAAAAAAAAGAGGATGCTTGCCACTGTTTATGGTTTTAAACATTCTAGTTTATTTTAGACTTTAAATATTCTAGCACTAGATGTGCTGAGATGTGTGACCTTGGAAATTAAAGTTATGCATGTAGTACATACCACATATATTTGGAACTTTATCTGGGAGTCTGCATACTTTTCAAAATGTGTAGTGCTTGTGATGAAAAGAAAGTATATTTAAAATTTTCAGTTTTGATAAAAAGCTTAACTAAAATAGGAGTATGAGCCTGTAAATTCACTGGGGAATTGTAAGGATGGTTGCTGATCAGGTCTATAGTGATTTTAGGAGCAGAGCTTTTAAAGAGAGATATAGCTAACAGACAGTTTGGGAATGGGCACAATGCTGGAGTCTCAAACAGATAGGATATCTTCTGAAAATGAGAATCAGATGGAAATTTTTTTTTTCCACCTGACTTTATATTTCTCACCTCCAGCCACCCCTTTGGACTTTTCTGACCAAATTCTAAAAAACAGGACCCAAGGCACCTGTTTGGGTATGAAGACATCCAAGGTTAAATGTTGTAGTGCTCCATCTAAATCAGTTTGTAGAACAAGTGTATAAGGTTTTTGATGGTACTAGACTGAGGAATCAAGTTCACCCCTTGTAGAACAAGACATGGTAAGGGCAGCAGCAGGACCATAGTGATGAAAATCACTGCCCTGCCACTCTGTTTTAGCCTTGACCAAAGACCAAGACCTTTATGATTCATTGTCAATATCTGTTCTACCTTCAGTTTTGACTAAAAGAAGAAGAAAAAAAAAGAGGATGCTTGCCACTGTTTATGGTTTTAAATATTCTAGTTTATTTTAGACTTTAAATATTCTAGCACTAGATGTGCTGAGATGTGTGACCTTGGAAATTAAAGTTATGCATGTAGTACATACCACATATATTTGGAACTTTATCTGGGAGTCTGCATACTTTTCAAAATGTGTAGTGCTTGTGATGAAAAGAAAGTATATTTAAAATTTTCAGTTTTGATAAAAAGCTTAACTAAAATAGGAGTATGAGCCTGTAAATTCACTGGGGAATTGTAAGGATGGTTGCTGATCAGGTCTATAGTGATTTTAGGAGCAGAGCTTTTAAAGAGAGATATAGCTAACAGACAGTATAGGAATGGGCACAATGCTGGAGTGTCAAACAGATAGGATGTCTTCTGAAAATGAGAATCAGATGGAAATTTTTTTTTTCCACCTGACTTTATATTTCTCACCTCCAGCCACCCCTTTGGACTTTTATGACCAAATTCTAAAAAGCTCTGGCTCTGTCAGGGTAGGTCTTATGTAATAAGTTCCATTAGTTGAGTTTAATCCAGCAGTTTAGATTTGGGACTTACTTAGCTATTTCTTAGAAGCATTACCTCAATTTTATTCAGATTTTCCATGGTTTTACTGCCAGGCAGTTTAACTGAAAGTAACTGAGTTTTCCCCTGTGTCTTATATTGTGGGAAAGAACCCTTAACTGCCAAGAGTTCCTATGATGCTTTATGATGTTTTTTCTAATACTGATGTAATTCTTGCACAATATAGGTGTTCTAGTGTCACCTAGACTCTACAGTTACTATTATACAGATGACATACTGCTGGGAATGTAGATGGGAAAGCCTGTTGTTCAGAACTACATATTTGTAAGAGCAGTGTGTTAAGAATAGGAGCAGTGAGGGTACTGAATCACAAATGGTGAGGCTCATCTAGTGATGGCTGTGACACTTCCTGCTCCCAGCTGTCCTTTCCATCCCATGACATGGGGCTTTCCACCCTCAGTGCAAAGATAGTTCAGCTGTTCAATGTAGCAGCTGCTGAATTTCTTTAATTTGCAGCCAAGCATATTAAGGTAAGCCCAAATAATTTTTGGGCTATCTGAAAACTAAACTAAATTAAAACTTAAACTGTTCTGCCAACACTAGTACTTCAGTTTTACAACTGAGACACAGATGCAACAGAACAGAAATCTTGGGGGAATGGGAGAGATGACTTTTATCAATGTCCTCAATGGACTCAAATTGTTGGATGGAAAAGAGGTTATATCATTATTCTGTGTTGAGAAGCTCAGGAACATTTCCAGGCTCTTTGGTGTGGGTACGTGCCTTAGCCTTTACCCAGCTGCATATTCTAATGAAGCACACATCCAGGACAAGTCATCAACTGAGCTTGAATGAAAAGCGGAATTCCTGCTCCCAGAGCCAGAATCAGCTCCAGACTCAGTTTAGATGTCTATGGTGTAGATTTCTACATGTGATGTATGCATGCATTTAATGCACTAAGGATTCAGTGAATGCAGTCAGTAGGTCTCTGAGATGAGTTTTGTATCTTGTTGGATTATATCCTGTTCTTTCATTCACCATTCCAGAAACAGTCACTGTGTCATATTCATCTCTCTGTTTCTGTAAGTGTTAATGACTCCTGAATGATCTCCCTCTTTTCTTCATCAATTGTCCTCTATTCCATTTGTTTCTCAAGTCTAGTTGGGATGTAACTGTCAGAGATTTTGTGTTCTCTTGCAGAAATGTCACGAATGTTAGTGGTTTGAATGGTGTTTGCATTATGGACTCAACTTCTAGATGTGCTGATAAGTCTACAAGCAGATGACAGACAGCCTGCATCATTTGATGTCCCTTCTCTCACACACAAGCTGCCATGTGTCTCACTGAATCAATAAGATTTGATTAAGGGTACATAATGGCTTGTCCTTTTTTTCTGTCTTTCATACACGTGAAAAGGCATTATCTTATTAAACTTCAGTTGTGCCTTTTCCTCCAGTGTTCTCTTTAAGACCCCAGCTGTTGAATTGGGGTAAATTACAGTGAGTCCTTTGTGGTTACTCTTATCCCTTGGTGACTTCATCTGCCATGAGGTTGTCCATATAGCCAGAGCACCTACAGTTTTCTTCCAATATTCCCATCATCTTAATACTAAAAGAATTCTCCACAGATCTGTGAAATGTACCCTTATGCTGACCATCATTATGTTTCCCTTTCCTTTCAATACTTTCCAGGTTTTTTCATTAGTTTGTCTTTTTAATGCTGTTCTTAACAAGTGTGCCTGAGATTAAAGCGAAACATTGTTCAGGGAGAAAAGGGCTTCTGGTGAAACAGATGTCACTTGAAGGACTGTATATCCCTTTCTTTTGGCAACTGGCACAGATTCTGGCTAACATCAGTGGGCATCCTGCCCTCCAGCAGATGGTGAGAAGTGTGGAGAGCCAAAAGCCCATCTACGAACGTGGAATACGTTGGAGAGTTTATGTCTCAACAAATGTTGAATGAGCTTTTTTAGTCTGAACTTCTGTGCCTGCAGCTAGTCTGGAGAAAAGGAGAGCTTTTTAACAAAAGAATATTCTGCATCAACATATGGCTGCTGCGGTGTTTAGAGCAGATGATTGTTACAGGAGGGTTTGGGAGAGGGAGATCATGAAGTAATCAGCATATTAGAAGAGTGGCTTCTTTGTATTGGGAATACCAATAAGAGACCAAAATGCCATGTTTCTGGTTCAGCTGAGTTTCACAGAATTAGTTCTGAAGTTGGAAAAATCTGTGGTATAGTTGCTCAAATTAAGATAGGTAGCCTTAGAACAGAATTTCACATGTGTTTTAATAGAAAGTCTAACTTGTTTTCTTATGGCTTAGTCATGTTTTCCAAGAATTTTGAGAATAAGGGATGATTTTGATGTCACAAAACCATCTCGCAAAATACAGAAGTTGTCAGATGGATCAATGAGAAGTTTGTGTGGCTTCTGATGGATCAATGAGAAGTTTGTGTGGCTTCTTATAGTCATGCTTAGGAACCTTACTTGTTCTTAATTTTCTAGGGGAAAGGCAGTGACCTACGCTACTGTAGCTGGACAGGAAATGTGTGTTGCAACAAATACAGATATACATAATAAGGTCAAGGCTTTTGCCTTACATTTTCCTGTGTCTAGAAACATTAATATACAGACCGTACTGTACATGTGATTTGTCTTTACTTGTAGGTGTTGAATACCTACCCATGTGAACTTAAATATTGAGAAGGTTTAAGTCAGTTGCTTGGCATGCTAGATGAAGGAATAGCAAACTGTGATAAACACAAGAAATTTACTGGATAATACGGAGAAATTGATGGAGATTTACCTGAGTCAAAGCAACTCAGCTGCAGAATTTGTATGTTTTGTGCATGATTGTAGGGGAAGAACTGACTTGAGCTTTGAAAGAAAACAGAGGCAGGTATTAAAGAATTGTTGTGAGGGACACAGATGAGAAACTGAAGGAGCTGGCTTCTTGTTTGCTGTGCCCTGAGAAGAATGTTACAGGTGCTTGCTTGCCTTGGAGCATGAACCAGAACAAAGAGAGGCAACAGGCAGTCTGCACTCCTCACCATCAGAGCATCCAGGATTCTGAAGATTGCCTTTGTTATAGCAAAAGTTTGTCTTTAAGGAGTTCATGCAGAAATGAAACCAAATGCAATTAAAAAACTGGTAGTGTGTGCACGTTCCCATGGAGGCTTGTCTAGAGACTGTTGGAATTGTTCATTTAAAAGTCATAATACACAACTATCAGGTAATAATGATTTTCACTCACTGTCAAGGCTGTTTTGGTGACTGAGGAATAACAAGTCTCATTGTCATTTACCCAATACTTTTTGGGTTCAATTGCACCCGCTTTCACATTGATTCCTCCTTACAGTTTTTGTTATAATTCATGATGATTTAAACTCTTTCATTTTTAGAGTGGCCAAAATCATATGCTTTGGATTTTTTAAAAAACTTAGTTCTCTATAGAGGTGTTATTTCATTGCATACACATTTCTATAGCTGATGATTATAAGGTCAATCCCCAAGCGAGCTCACTAGCAGTGTGCATTCAGTAGCACTCCTCATTAGTTTGTTCATAAAAGCATAGGGTTTTTTTCACTTCTTTGTACATTGTACTGGAGTGAAATGTCCCATGAACTCAGTACCAGCTTTCTTGTATTTACCAGCCTGTTTTCTATTCTTTTAGCTCAGCTAAAAATCACTGTGATTACTAGCTGGTGCACAATCTCATGAGCAACATGAGATTTGCTTAGTAATAGCAATTTATTTAAATAATGAAATTCACAATGGAGTTGAATTATGGTGCTTGCTTCAGAAGTATTTTCAAGCTCTTTGTCTTTCTAATATTTAAAGCACACGTGGCAGGTGTAAGAGAGGGGAGGACAAAGCCTAACTCGCTGGGTAGAAAAGCGTGTCTTTGTGTTAGCACTGTGAAAAAGGCCCAATCAGGGACCTAATCAAGAGACTGCAGAAGCTAAAGGCTCTCTGTGATCCACAGGCCTGGCATGGGGCTATTGTGTACTGGTTTATAGCTGAGGCATTGTGTTTGCTATTCTTATGGAGCCCTGCACAGGGTATGAATAGGAAAATGGTGGCCAATGTCAGTTCCTGTTAATTTTTTGTTCTGTACAAAAATCTCTTAGCAATTTTCCATGCACTCTGAAGTCCTACTGTCATGTGGTTTTGTTTCCTGGCTGTGTCTCTGCCAAGATATTTTCACCGTCCTTTGTTCATTATCGTCTCCTGGCCCACGTGCTGCACCTGTGTGCTTTTGAAGTGCTTTATGCATCTGGAACTGTTTGGCAGATTCTGGACAGTAGTTTTTCCCCCTTAGGAAATCTGTCTCTCCCTACTGTATGAGGAAATCTGGCTGTGTTCCAGCCTGCTTGGAAGCATGGCTTTGCAGAATGAAGTGTGTACACATGAATACTGAAGTGAGTGCTTAAGTAAATCTCCAGAATAAATCTATGTGTGTGTTACCTGGGTGAGGGCTGAGTGACAAATCAGGTGATTATGGAGCCATATTTCACAATTCAACAATTACCTGCTACTAGATCTGAATCCACGTAGCTTTTAAGGTGTGTTGAATTTCTTTCTTTTTTTGTTATGCCAGAAAGGAAGAGCTTTTCATCCTCATCTCCAGAATAAATCTATGTGTGTGTTACCTGGGTGAGGGCTGAGTGACAAATCAGGTGATTATGGAGCCATATTTCACAATTCAACAATTACCTGCTACTAGATCTGAATCCACGTAACTTTTAAAGTGTGTTAATTTTTTTCTTTTTTTGTTATGCTGGAAAGGAAGAGCTTTTTGTCCTCCTTTACCAATCTAGCATAAATACTACCACCATTAATAGAGAAATTCATAGGTTTAAGTTACAGGAAAATTACTCTGATAGGTCTTCATACTCTTGCCAGGTCAATAGAAGGACTCTATTGATTTTTAACACTTAAAACACACACGTCACAAGCTGCAGAGAAGTCTGATGTCCATCTATTGCCTGTAGGAGTGCTTCAGCCACTGGGCTATATGTCGAATTGAAGGCAAAAGAATTCATTGCTCTGGTTGAAGCTTGGCCATTGTATGACATGGGAAAAGGAGACTCTCAAGTGCTATGTGTTCAACTGGGGACAGTAGGAAAAATGGAATATTAGATTCAAATGTACATGACTTCTACATAGAAAATAAACTGGTCATCTGAGTCTGAATATATAGGAGCAGAGCCCTGCCTTTTTTCCCCACTTAAAAGCTTCTAGCTTATCAAATTATCATGCAGGCATTCAGTGAGCAAATGTGTCATGTCAGTGAACAAAAATTAATTGAATGTATTTATGCCTGTTACCATGGTTAATTCTACATCCTTATTGCAGAACTGCTGGGAAAATTAGAAGATTATTGGCATGGTTGATTTATATTCCACATCTAATGCGTAATACAGAATTTTGCTTTCTTATTTGTGAACAGAACAGTTGGGACTTAGCATGGACTTGATAGAGCCAACAGGCACTGCCATCTCATGTCAGTTTGGTCTCAAGTAAATGGTTGAGTTAGAGGATGCAGGGCTGCTAGCCTTCATGGTTCTAGTATAACTTTTGGTGTTTTCCTTAAGTTTTCAGCCTTTTGTTGGACTTCAGCAAAGCATTCAACGTGTTTTCCTTCGTCTTTCTCCTGCACAAAGTGGCAAGTGACTGCACGGGTGGTCTGTGAGATGGGTATGAAATTGGCTGAGAGGTGGCACTCAGAGGGTAGTGATCAATGGTTTGTACTCAGGCTGAAAGCCTGCCACAAGTAGAATTCCCCAGGGATGAAAACAGGACCCCATACTATTCAACATCTTCGTAACTTAGCTGGATGATGGTGCTGAAAGCAGCCTCACCAAGTTTGCTAGTGACACCAGCCTGGGTGGCTGAGATGGGTGTGTCAGAAAAGAAAACCCTCTCACACAGGGGCCTGTCCAGGCTGCAAGAGTGGGCAAGCAAGAGCAGTATGAAGTTTAATGAAGTGTGGCTGGGGAGCAGCCTTGCTGAGAGACCGGGGTGGGCACAAGCTGAGCAGGAGTCAGCAGTGTGCTGCAGCAGCAGCCAGGGCATCCAGGGCTGCATCTGCAGGGCTGTGGCTGGCAGAGACAGAGACATGCTCATCCCACTCCTCTTAGCACTTGTCTGGCTGCACCTGCAGTGCTGTGTTCAGCTCTCATCCCCACAATTCCAGAAAGCAGCAGAGGGGCTGGAGAGGGTCCAAAGGAGGACCACAAATGTGATCAAAGGGCTGGAGAGCCTGCACAGCAAGGAAAGACTGGAGCAGTCAGGTCTCTTTTCCTTGGAGAAAAGAAGGCCTGGGGGGCATCATCACAGTATTCCAGTAACTACTGCACCAGGAGAGGTTTCATCTCTGTATAAGAAGGAAATTTTTTACGATGATACCCATCATTCACTGGAGTAACTTCCCCTGTGCTGGAACCCCCACCACTGGAGATTTTCAAGATGCCATTGGACACTGTGCTAGATAATCCCCCTCAAGGCTCCCTTTCATCGTGATGTTGGGCCAGGCAATATTTTGAGGTCACTTCCAATGTGGGATGTTTTGTGATTCTATTATTGTTTAAAAGCCTACTTTCTTTTAAATAAAAGCAAACTTTTTAGTCTTAGATTTTGGAGTGTCTTGAAATGTTAAAAATAATGTGGTAAGAGCCTTGGAAGGCAAATAAAAGCAGCTGAAAATGAATTGTTGTAAAGCAAATCTGAAACTTTTTACAAGCCAGCCCTCTATATTTGAGGAATCAGTTCAGAATTTGTAAAGGCATAGAGCATTCAATATTGTGGAAAGCCTCTCTTTGGTGCAGTTGGTATTAATGCTTATTGAGTGGATAACTGAACTGGTACCCCAAGTGGCTTGCTAAGCTACCCCCTAAATTCTAGAGTTTGTTCCATGGCACCAGAAGAAATTTTGCTTCCTTTCTTCAGAAATGCATGTACATATCCAGCCTTCTGCTGTCAGTTTCATTATCTCCTATTATATTTCTAATATTCTACTGTAGTTCTAATTATGGAATCTTATTAATTTTAAAATAATTTTTCAAATGTTCAGATTCTTTAAGAAATCAGTTTTCTGTTCTGAATTGCTACCTTTGTGAATGCATCTCAGCTTTCATTGGACATAAAATACCTACACATTTCAGTTTCTGAGGAAATGCTTGAAAATATGGCTGGAGCACACTCTAGAGGCTCAAAATTTCAACGGCAGATAAATTATCCCAAATTTATTTGTACAGCAGATATCATTATTTTGAAGCAAATCTCATTATTTTTAAAGTATTTTTTTTCATTTCTAATGAAAATTAGAAGCAAGATTTCTGAATACTATGGATTTCTTTATCTCCCATTCCTCCAGAGAAATATATTTTATTATTACTCTTAATCTGCGGACAGGGAGCTGGGTTTTCTATGTTCTGCTAAGTCTTATATCTAGGTCAAAAATGGATGACATTCTGCCAGTTCATAGAGGTGCTGATATTATTTCTGTCAGGTTTTGCAAACTAGGAAAATTTAACTTGCTAGATTTAAAAAAAAAAAAGTGTCCTGAAAAGCAAAAATGCTGCACTTAATAGAATTGTTTGGAGGACCAAGATACAAGTATACATAAGTTTAAAAATTCTAAACAGGTCTGTGGATATAATAAGGTTGTATAGAATTTATTATGCCACTTGAAAAAGGTCACTACCCTACATGGTAGACTTTGTGTTCTCTGCTATTTTACATCATGTTACATGACTGGAAAGCTTGCATGAAAGCTAGGCAGAGCAAGCTTCCTATAAGTCCTGATTTATGTGTTGTTTCAAATAATCCACTTGCCTATGCATCTTCACTTTGCAGTTATTTTTTATCTGTATAATATTTCCAATCAAATGTGAAGCTCTTGAAGTGTAGCAGAAGGATTAGTGCATTTTTTGGATTGCTGACACTTTAGGACCATATTTAGTAACAGGTTCATGTTACTCTCTTGAAGGATGGTGCTGAATGTCCAGTTGAGTGACCTAGACAGCTGAATGCTGCCACTATATCTGAGCAGTGATTTGTGAAGTTCTTCATGGTGTTTCTAACCTGTTAAATAGGCAGCTATGAACACTGTCAAATTTTTGTTATTATTTCCAGCTATTTGTTTAACATACATGTTGCCTGCTTGGATTGTGTTGATTGTATACTATTTTATGCTGACACCCTAGAGCCTCAATGGTGAATCAAACTCGGGCATCTCTGTCAGGGTGTGGAGCCCACACACAGTAGTCACAAGACCTTTCTTTTTTTAACCTGCAGTTGCTGTCTCTGTTCCCACTTCTCTGGCTGGTCATTGCTTCATTACACAGAAAATGTACCCTCCAGTCCTCTGTCCTACATTGGCCTTGCTGCTTATTTGAAGAATTTGGGGCAGGTTCAGGCATAACCAGTAGCAGCCCTCCTGGGCACAGGTTCCAGGGATGTGCCACAGAGGAGCTGGCCTGGCATGGAGCCACTTGGCACACTCTTGCTATGAAGACTCTGCAAGTGCTCAAGACCTGGGGCTGTGGTCAGGGCAGCTGAGGGATGTGCTGATTCACCATGTCCATGCTGGAGCACGGATTCCCAATCTGTAACCCGTGAGCTAACATTTACCTTTGGAACAGGTGGCTGGGGGTTATTTTCTCTAGTTGGTTTACACTTTGGAAATGGCCTGAATGACTCTCCAGGCCTGTGAACTGCTGTGACTGTAGTTACCAATCCCTGGCAGAAACCACACAGCTGAAAATCAGGGATAAAAGAGCAGCGATAAACTGGAAAAAGTTGTCCCTAAAAGGTATGGACTACTACGAAAAAATAAAATTTTTTTTGCAATGATTTCTCAGGATTCTGGATTACAATTTGAGAAAGCCAAAGTATTTTCACTTGAAAACTCAAGGAAAAATATAAAAACTTCTATTATTTTTTGTTAAAAAGGAGAATTCAAGGCAAATTTGTACATGGTCGATGTCACACTTTTCTATCGGAAGATAGTTCTGCTAATCTTACTGGACAGTTTTCAAAAGCAGACCAAAGAACAAGTTTTTCTGCCAACCAAAGCATACAATTTCTTTTAAAAAAAGATTAAAATTGTTTTTAAGTGGCCATGGCATTCATTTGCATTTGATCCTTTTCAGCATTCTGCATCCCTTAAAATCCTGAGTTTGTCTGAACTCTGGTTACAGAAATGGTGTGGGCAGTACAAACTACCAATTTCGATGTGCATGTGTAGTCAAATTCCTCTGGGCAGAAAAGCTTATATTTCAACATTACTACCAGTATGAAAAAAAGAAAAGGAGAAACAAACTCACAGAGAATAAATAAAGTGTATACAGAGGAGGGAGAGAACACCAATAAAGAGAGTAGGAAATACACCATGTGACTGGAGTCAGAGCGGGAATGATTATTCTTGGGGTTTGACCCACAGGCCTGGCATTTGAGCTTGAGCCTTCTCTTCAGTTCCTGATTTTGGTGCCCAGCACTGATGCCAGGAAAGACATCTAAGACAGTTTATATATACCATATATATCATGCTACTTTCCAGCTAAATAAAATCAATTCATAGTGATACATAAGACAGGGTATTCTTAAGGAAGACATCATCCACACATGTTCTTTCAGTGGGTTTCCTATGATTCTATGGCTCTTATGTTTTCAAAAATTGTTCCTGATTGCGCAAATGAAAATAATGTTTTCTTCTTGCACTACTTTATGTGTGCAAACAGTACTGCCATATATATATATGTTTAGCTAAAGGCTAGGGAAAAGTCAATGTGGAACGGACTTGTTTCTTATCTGGAAGTTTAAAATGTTTATTGTCGTACCACTTACAGTAAGTGAGAAAGATTATTCTCTTTATCAATCTTATTTTAACAATTACAAAATCAGTAGGTTTATTTGATTGTTAGTAATGCTTGGATATTTTTTTAAGATCTTCACATAAATAGGTTTTGTTTAATTACTATTTATTTGCTGCAGGTTAACCTTCAAATAGACTTATTTTTAACTGCTTGCAAAAAATGCCTTTGTCCACTGCTAAAGTAGAGGAAGACAATTACACTGCAACAGAATTAAGAGAATCATGCAGTGGCTGTATTATTTTGAGCTACTGTTGCACACACATATGTGTAAAATGAATGTGGACAGAATTCATACTGCCTGAACAAAATTTGTATGTATTGAGCAGTGTGAACTCCCCAGTTGGGGAGAGCCTTTCAGTGCCAGAACGTGACAGGAAGGAGAAGCTGCTCCTGGCAGAGACACATGATGAAATTAATTCCCCTTCATTGAGCTCATCTTACTGGTAAGGGGAGGCACTGTAAAGTAACTATAAAGAGGCACTGCTAAGAACATCAGTGAGCTCAGCATACTATGCTTTTCAGCTTTTGTGATTTTATTAGATATCTGGATGAGGTAACCTCTTGAAATAGCTGAGAGGAAGAGAAAGGAAAAAAGATGCTGTTTGCCTAACATCATCCTGCTAAAGAAATCGTATAGAGTCTTGCTAACACCAAGAGGTTAATTTTGAGTTGCTGTTTTCTTTATCAAAAAGGATGTGTTAAAAATTTGGGATTTTTTTTGCTTTGTTTTGTTTTTTTTCTTTCCCTTGCATATTCTTGTGAATGCAACTTCTTGTCCTGGAAAATCATATGCAATTTTTTTTTTTTTTTTCCCCCTTGCATATTCTTGTGAATGCAAGTTCTTGTCCTGGAAAATCATATGCAATCACCATAACTATTTCAGTCTTTCTGATCTTTGGTGACCAAAGAGAAATCCTGTTTTATGCCTGCACTTTAAGACCAGAAGTGAGAATGATGATTGTTTAGCCTGAAATTCTCCTCAACACAGGTCGTGTCTCAAGTCAGAGTCACAGAGGTTCTGCTTGATAAGGGGATGCTGTCTCATCTGCTTATTCAATACTGAGTATTAAAATGCCTTGAGCTTTTTCCTATAATTTTTTTAATGTAAAAGTGATTGCTATGAATTCCCATAAGCAAATACTATCACAAGGAAAGACTGGCTATTTTTCTCTACAATTTATTGATTACTGATCTTTAATTTATAGCTGTAATTCTGGTTCCAATTATATTCTAGACTGTATTTTAGATTTAGGGAATTTTTGTGGGTTTTTAAATGGTTTGATATATAGAAGTTTCTGTATGAAATCATTTGGCTTGAAAGGACATCAAAGTTCATCTAGTGCATCTTTCTGTTGCCAGGCAGGAACATGTGTAGACAAATCCCTTCTGACATATACTGGTCTAGTGTTTTTTTAAAGGTTGCTAACAATGCTAAGGTTACAGCGCCTCTCCAGAAAACCTGTAAGGACATTTCCCCATCTCCAATCTGAATTTGCCTTGCTGCAGCTCCTTTTCATTGCATGCATCACAGACATGAAAAACACATTCTTTCCATATGCTTTGCAATAGCCCTTCTATGTATCTGAAGATATGTTCAATTTTTTTTTCCATAGGTCATATATTTTGTGGCTGTGCTGTTGTTCCTGTCTTGCATTCTTACTTTCCCCTTGCTATTATCAGTAGCTTCAATAGCACATGTAGCTATTGTTATTATTCTTTCATTTTTCCTTCAAGTACTTGGAGTTAGAATCTTCACAGTGAGTAACTTATTGATAGTGAAACATC